TCAAAAAATTCAAACTAGACTTGTACGTGAATTAGAGAAAAAATTTTCTGGAAAGCATGTTATGTTTGTTGGAGAACGTAAAATTTTACCTAAACCAACAAGGAAAACACGTACTAAAAACAAACAAAAAAGGCCAAGAAGGTATCATTATTATCTAAAATATTAATAAAATATATTTATTAATTATTTATATTATTTATATTATTGTATAAATTAATAATAAATATAATAAATTTTTCTTTTAGTCGTACCTTAACAGCAGTATATGATGCATTATTGGAAGATTTAGTATATCCTGTAGAAATTGTTGGAAAACGCATAAGAATTAAACTTGATGGTACACAGCTTATTAAAGTTCATTTAGATAAAAATGAGCAAACAAACATAGAACATAAGGTAAATAAATTTTTAATATGATTTATTTTATAAATTTATTTTATTTTTTTATTTTATTTTATTTTATTTTATTACTTTATAATATGCAATAGTTATATAATAGATTGATAAACACAAATCAATATTTTTTTATTTATATTTATTTATTTATTTATTTTTATTGATAATTATATAAAGTATTATAGAATTATATAAAATAATGCAGTACTTATTTTAAGTATTTTATTTATTAGGTTGACACATTTGCAGCTGTGTATAAGAAATTAACAGGTCGAGATGTAACATTTGAATTTCCAGAAACATATGTATAATTTGTTTAAAAAATAAAAATATTTGAAATAATTTTTTCAAAGATTGTTATTTTTTCATCCTGTATTAGTGAAATTTATAGTAATTGATTAATTTGCGAGTAAAACTCAAATTATTTAAAATAATTTTGCTATTGTAAATTTTATAATTATAATTAAGTAAAATGAAAGTTCAACACTTTGTAATTTAGATATAATTATTACATAATTTATTTTTTTCTAATTTCAAATTGAAGTGAAATCAGAATATTATAAAAAATAAATACTAAAACTTAAAAATTGTTTTACAGAGAATTATATATAGTTATATATAGTTATATCATATATATGTAAATATGCATATTGTATATTATACTTATCTAGTATTTCACGCATGCGTATAAAGTTCTAAGTAACCAAGTATAAGCAGTTAATTTTCGTGGTATCAAATATCATTTTTGTGATATAGATTAATATAGAATAATAAAAATAATTATTTAATCTAATTTTGATTGTGTAGAAAAAATGATCTATTTACAATAAAATATTCAATATATATAATCATCCATAATTATAATCATTCAAGTTAAAATCTAAGACTTAACCTCTGCATCCTTCGGAAAGCACTAAATATTTATCTAAGAATACTGATTTATTAGCATTATTAAATTTAACTTATATTAAGAATATTTTATTAAAATAAAAAACATTTTATAAAAAATTATTATTTAACAAATTTAAAAAAAAGAAGCTTTGTATTTAAAATTTAGAATGTCAAATATTCCTAGACAAATAATACGTTAAATCATTCAATTTAATGTTTTGAAATTCAATTTAACGTACTAGATATAACTATTTTAAAAACTGATAAAATTTTTTAACAATTTTAATTTTTAAATTGTACTGAGAAGTGAAAAATTAAATATATAAATGTTGAATGTTTGTAAAAGTAAAAACTTCACAAATATTAAAAATAAATATCTTTTGCGCTATTAAGTATTCATATAATTTATCAGAATTTATTATAAATAAAAGTGGTAAGTTAATATAAATATTTCAATAGAAATACATATGTTATCTATCTAATTATCTATCTAATCTATCTAACTATATTATTATAGTATCCATAAATATTATAATATTATTGCTTATTTTATTGTTTTAAAAATAGTTATAATTTATAATTAAATAATAGATAATTATATAATTATATATTAATTATTAATATATAATTAAATATAGAATTTATAATTAAATAATATTTTCTTATGTGATTTGAATCTGTTGAATTTGCAAGATAATTGTTAACATCAATGAATTTATATATATTATTTAATCAATTTTTAATTATAATAAATAAATAATTGAAGTTATTTGTAAGCACTATTTTATAAAAGATTTGAATTTTATGTTTTTTAATTTTTTTTTAGTTCAAAATGAGTTCAGGATTTATATCAGAAGCTGAAATTGCAGAACAACGTAGAATAAGGCAAGAAGAATGGGAACGTGTACGAACTGCAGATCAACCATTAGGTTATTTTTATCTATATTTTATATTATATTTTAACAATTTAATTTGAAAGTATATTTATTTAGTAAAAAACTATATAACATATTTTAAAATTAATTGTTATATACATAGTTTTTATCATAGTTTGTTTCATTAATAGATAATTTAAAATATAATTTAATCAAATTAAAATTTATTTAATAAATTAAAATAATTTTTTTAGAATTATATATTTATATATATTATATTTCATTATATATATTTTAAATTCTAAGTTATTGTGTTATCATCATCTATATTTTTTTAATTTTTGTAGAAGCTCCAGAGGAACCATATGATCCAAGATCATTATATGAACGATTACAAGAACAAAAAAATAAAAGAGATGCAGAATATGAAGAGGCACATAAATTAAGTGAGTTAAAAGTTATAGAGAACATAATATCTAAAAATTTCTTTTATATTATAAAATTATTTTTTTATTTTAGAAAATATGATAAAAGGTTTAGATGATGATGAAGTAGAATTTTTAGATTTGGTAGATAGAACAAAATTAGAAGAAGAACGTAAAAAAAATCTTGAAGAAGAAAAAGAAATGCGAGATTTCAAAGCTGCTGTTGCTTCATTACAAGAAAAATCTTTAAATGAAAAATTAAAACAAGAATTAAAAAATCCTCAAATTATGAATAAAAATATTTCATCTGGAAGGTAATATATTAATGTATTATTTAATGTATTCATTAATTCAATAATTTATTTCTTCATTATATTTTAGATATTATAAAATAAATTACATAATATATTTTATATAATAAATAATAATTAATATTTAATTTCGAATTTTTTATTATTTCTGTTATTATGAATAATATAAAAATAATATATATTTTATAATATTAAAAAATAAATTTTGTTTTTTTAAAGCCGTACTTCCCAATTAAAATTATTAGCTGGAGTAGTAGTTAAACGTCCTGAAAAACAACAAAAACAAGGTAAATAGAAATTTTTAATATATTAAATTTTTTAATATATTAAAATTAACTATTGGATAAAAAATAATATTTATTATTATGAAAAAAATAAAACTATATATTCAATATGTAAAAGATTACAAATATAATTTAATATTTTTCAAATCTCAATACTAGTTTAATATTATATTATATTTATATAGATGTTACACGAGGTGTTAAAAGAAAATTATCTGAAGAAAATAAAGATACATCAAAAAAAGAAGATTGTGAAATAAATGAACAGATAATTACTGAATGTGAATCCGCATTCAAAGATATTTCAGAAAACAAAAATATAACAAATGAAACAGGAGGTATGAAATGTATTGGAATTTTACCTGGTCTTGGTTCCTATGAAGATTCTAGTGACAGCGAATGTAGTTCAGATACAGATCAAGATCCAGAACCAAATCATTCTAAATATGATCTGTTAGGTCGAAAAATAAAAGTTTTAAAAGATAAAGAAAAGAGCTGAATGCAAAATATAAGCGCCTTTTTATTGATAGGTAAATAACTATTTTGTTTTGCAATTTATTGTAATTGTACAATATAAATATATTTTTTGCAATAATTTTCTGCATATTTTACTTTCATTTTCAGTTTGCTCTTATTTCATGTTGCAAAAGAATATTGGAGTTTTTTAAAAAATATATTATATTGTATAATAGATTTGCTTTTTTTAAGACATACATTTTAAATATCATAAAACTCTATTTAAAGTTTAAATGTTTGTCAGTTTTAAGAATATCACAAAAATAATTAGTTACAGAAATAAATTCATTGTCAGTTCATAAATAAGGAAATATGTATATATTTTTCAAAAGAGTATTAAATGCACATGTAATGATTACTTTGATAATTTTAAAAATATTTATATTTAAATGTTATATTCGTTAGATATAATTGGATTATAAAATACATGAAACCATTTTTGTTTATTATGTACAATTATAATATCTCAAAATAATCATCTTAATAATACTGATTATATTTAAAAGACAATTTCCACTAAATATATTGTCGTAACAATTTATGCATAAATTGTATTATATTGTAATATACGTGATACACATAAAACAACTATAAAATGAGTATATGTTATTTATATCAAAATATATATAAAGTTCATATTTTATTTTCCTTTTTTTTCCTTTTTTAAAATAAATGATGTGAAAACATAACATATTATGAATAATTCTATAACAAAACAATTATATATAATTTTTTAAATGGATAAGAAGTAAAAATTGTAGATATTTTTTTTTATTTTAGGATTATATAGAAGCAAAATTATTTTTATACTAAATTTGCAAATTATTTAAATTAAATAATATTAGATGCTTCTAAAATGTATATACAATTAATCACAAAACTATTACAATATTTGTAATATTATATGTATTTAAATATATTATACATATATATACATACATATATATACATATACATAATACACATATATATATATATTGATAAAACTGCATTATATCTTTTAAATATGTCGTATTTATCACATTATTAATATGAAATTATAAATTCATAACATATAATTAAATTATGTGTTTTATAATAAAACAATCATAATACTAAAAATCAAATTTTAATAATAATTAAATATTACATAATTAAACATATAAAAATATTTTTATATAAATAAAAATACTGAAATTCTTTTAAAATTTTATTTGTAATTACAAATACAATTAATTTAAATATGAAATATGAAATATTTATGAAATATATTTCGTATAAAATAATTTAATAATATCATGTAACCTATATATATAATCATAAATTTGAATTTTTATAATAAGTATATATATTATAAATGTTAGCTTAACAAAGAATTTATCCATTCATCATTTATATCTTCAGAAACATTATAATCATTAGTTAAATAATCTTCTAAAACAGTATCTATATTTATATTAGTATTTGTAGCTAAAATATCGGATGTTATACTTTCTTGATTGAATGAAGTTATAGAATTATTAAATTGATTTGATATAGAAGCAGCATTTATGTCTGTTTCTGTTAAATAATTTTCTGTTTTAACTGTTGGATTTGATTTCATATTTAAAGAACTATTGTTAATATTATTAATATTATTAACAATATTAGAATTATTTGATTCTTTATTTTTCTTAATAGCACTAAAACTGAATTTTTCATATTGTTTACCACTAGTTATATTTCTTTTTACAAATGTATTTTTTACTTCTAAAGAATTTGATTTTGTATTATTACTTTTATAATCAGTCTGTTGTATTATATTTTTGACTGTTTCAGTAGTTGTAGTACATAATGGAATTTCAAAAGATAATGTTATAGGTGGTAAGCCATCTATTTCCATTTTAGTAACATTTAAATTAGATTTTAATACATTTTCATTATTTTTATTTGATTCTAAATTTGGTAATGTTTCAATCTTTGATATTAATTTAGTTTCTGCAATATTTTTAGATTCAATATTTAAAATTTTTTTATTTGAATCCTGATAGACAGAAATTTGATTTCCTACATTAATACTAGAAATATCAATATTTGTTTTTTCAACATTTGTTATTTTTGGAGTTCTTCTATTTACATTTTTAATATTTTCTATTGAAGTAATATTTTCTTCTTTAATATTTTTATTCAATGTATTCATCCATTCATTTTTAATTTTTATATTTTCTGTATTATTGTCAATTAATTGAAAATTTTTATTATGTATATTTATATTATTAATTTCTTTATTTAAAATAATTTTATTATTATCATTATATTGTTCTTTAATATCAATATTTTCTGTTATATTTGATTCTTCAACAACAGAAGTAGATTGATCAAAAATAGTTTTTGAATTTATTATATTTGAATCATTATTTATAATATTAATATTTTCTATGTAATACATACTTAAATCATCAATCATTTCTTTTGGCGTTTGTTTCATTGGTGATACAAGTGTATTACATAATAATGATTTTGTTGATGTTATATTTTCTTTTAATTTTGTTGGTTTATAATCATCCCAATAACAAGACCAGATTTTTCCCACTGCTCTTGGACAAAATACAAAATCTTCGTATCCAAGAGGCCATATACACTAAAATATAAAATAAATTAATTATGTAATACAAAATGAGAATAAAACAAAATTTATATTTTATATTTAAATTTTATTTGTTTTTTTAAATTATTTTTATTGATATATATATATAAGGTTATGTTATTAAATACTGAAATATTATTAATAATAAATAAAAAAAAAAATATTATATTCATATTTTCGTAAATTAGAATAATAAATTTACCTTTTCTTCTTCACACATCCATACAGCTTCTTGTAAATTAATTTGTAATAATTTTATTTTCTTTTTAATGCCATTTTTTAAACAAAGTGGACATAAATCTTGCATTTTTTATTGACAAAGATAAGAATCTTATCGATTTATTAAATTTAAAATATTTCAAAATATTTTAGAATTTTAACAGATTTATTTTTTAAATTATATTTCCTGAATTTTTAATGTTTTTTTTTAAATTTAATGGAATTAAATGGAATTACAAGAGAGGGCGCATTAGTTTTTAAAACATGCATATACCTGTGCAACCTGTTATGGCTTTTGAAAAAAAATTAGTACCAATACTAAACTTGTCTAGTGTTAAAATTTATTTAAAATCATATATAATAAGGTGAAATTTATTTTTATATGTATATATATAATTTTTATGAAAACTAATCTTATAAAAAAAAAGAACTATATTTTTTATAAATTTATAATTTTTATTCAGATATAATCATTCAAATATAATATGCCAGCTGATCAAATACAATATTCTGAAAAATACAACGACGATAAATATGAATATAGGTTCGTACAAAAGTCTAGTTTGTTCGTCTTAAAAAATTAAATATAAAATATAAATTAAAATACAGAATATCTCTAATACCTTTATTGAAAATTAAAGAATCTATATGTATATATAAATTTTTATTCTTATATCTTATATATAATCTTATATTATATATTTCATTATATATTTCAATATATTAAAAATATTATTTTATATTACATTTTTATTATTATTATTTTTTTTATTACTTGAATATGTATAATTCATAAATATTTTATAAAAAATATATAATAAAAAGATAAATTATTTATTATTTATAACTAAAACTAAAAATTTATATAGCTACAATAAATATAAGTTTATAATAAGCAGTTATTTGTTTACAGACATGTTATTCTACCAGCTGATTTAGCAAGACATGTTCCAAAAACTCATCTTATGTCAGAANTGTTTCTTTAAGAAACTCAGATAAATTTATATTTTATATTTTATATAATAATATTAAAATTTTATATATAATAATAACATATATTTTAAATTGAAAATATTTATTTTTAAAATTGAATATTTACATTGAATATAATTACAATATAATAAATAATTTACAATATAATAAATATAATAAATAATAATAAATAATATATTAATTCTTGTAAATTTATATAATTTTTCAGAACCACATGTGCTACTCTTCCGTAGACCAAGAACTGATGTTTTAACAAATACAAGAAGCACTGCTTTTCAAAGAGAATACCAAAATGTATATTGTGTTTAAACAAATTTTTAGGAACTTTCAATATTATTTAATGTCAGATTTAAAGATTAATAAATTGATTAGCATAATTATAATATAAATGGTAAAAATGATTTGCTTATTTATGATCATGATTTTGTTAAGATTAATAAATATATTCTGATAGAAATTTATGTAAATTTTAAAATATTTTAAAAATAAAAGAGAGAGAGAGAGACTGTAATAAATTTATAAATATAATACTAAGATTTATCATTTTTAAAATATAAAACAAGTAATAAAATATAATATTATGTATATAATATTTACAATATTTCACAATCAATTAAAATTAATTTATACTTACAAATATTAAATAAATAAAATAAATTTTGTTTTTGTTGTAAAATGTATTAATATTTATATATATTATTATTAAAATATATTTTCAATATATTTTTTATTATATTAAAATAAATAATTTATATAATAAATATTTACATATTTATTTATATATAATTATAGATTTATGTATTAGTCAATTTTTTTAATATTCCTATTTCATTATATTTTTATTGGTTATATGCTTTATATATGTTTGTTTATTTATATTATTTATATTTTGTTTCAGTATATATTACTAGATAAATATAATTTTTTTAAAATTAATTAATCATGATTTTGTTGAAAATTAATTAAAATTAAAATAAAAAATATAAAAAAAATATAACTATAAATAGGGTTTTAATAATATTTATTAAAATAATTTAATTGGAAATATACATACTTAATTACTATATAAAAATTCATATCATTTAATTATAAAATAAACTTTAATATTACATTGTTTTTATAAATTCATATCATAAAAAAAATTTTTTTATCTTCAAATTTTTAAAATAAATATTTAGAAATAAACTAGATAATAAATATAACACAAAAACTAATGATTTCAAATTTATTTTTAAATTAAATTAAAAGATATATATGAAATATTAAGAAAGGATATAAGAAGGTAATAAATAAAAACAATTTTTAATATTTTATACAACATTAATTCTATGTTTTAAACAAATGACTAATTAACAAGAAATGACATTAAATTAAAGTGGTGCAACTTGAGTAAGTTTAAACCAATGTCCACATTCACATCGACGTGGTTGGCCATCATGTAACCACATCCAATTTACATGTGAAGTATCTGGTTCACAAATGCAACCAACAATGCGACTTTTGAATGCACTTGGTACTAAATTTGGGCAATCTTTTGTGCTATCACGTGATATTTCTATAGCTTTCATGTGATATGGATCCTAAAATAAAATAATAATAATTAATTAAAATTAAAAAAAAAATTATAATCTATAAAAAAATCAAACTATAAATTAAAAACATTATATATTTATTTTCATTTTTTAAAAAAATTAATATATTATTTATTTTGCAATTTTATCATATAAATATATATGATAATAATAAAATAAGAATTTATATCAATATATACAATCTAGAAATTTGATTAAAATTAATTATATATATATATAATTA